TCTGTCTTTATCTTTGAGCCTTGATATGTCATTACTGGTGTTGGGTAGTGGGCAGTTTCTGCTGGAAGGTGGCTGGCATTCAATTGTAACCTTTTGCCCTGTCTGGTCCAGGGCAAAGTCTCCTCAATGGGAATAAAATGCCTTTGCCTTCTTTAGCTCAGTTCTTCACACTCAGGGCTACAGAGCAAAATGCTGCAGTTTCTGAAATGGGAGAACATATTCTGCAGGATGACTAAAATTTCCTAAATTTTTGCAACATGTAGCAAAATGGAGCATAATTTCAAATTGTGTTTATCTGAACTTTGCTTAAAAACTTACTGTGTTAAAGCCGCTATTAAATCCAGCTACTCAGGAGACTGAGGTGGGAGGGTGGCTTGAGCCCTGGAGGTTGAGGCTGCGGTGAGCCATGATCACTTCACTGCATTCCACCCAGGGTGACAGAGTAAGACCCCGTCTCCAAACAAAACAAAACCCAGAAAAACTGCTGCGTAGTTACAGGATTCTTCAATTAGTCAGTACTTCTAGCAAGATAATGTAATGAACTCTGGGTACATGGAGAGTTATGTGGTCATTGATAATCGTGATCACTCTGATAGTTCCTGGGAAAGAGGTGTATTTTCTGTCTCTTTCCGCTACCTGGCCTGATGGGAGTGAGGACAGCTCTGCTGTAGAGATCAGCAGAAACCTGTATGATGTGCTGTCTTTTTTGGAAGGGTAACAAGTGAACAGAGAGGGTGAGACCAGGGAATAATTTGGGGGGGTTGCAATTGGTTTGAGGAAAAACCATTTTTTGTTGTTGTTGTTTTGAGATGGAGTCTTGCTCTGTCATCCAGGCTGGAGTATAACAGCACATTCTCGGCTCACTGCAACCTCCACCTCTTGGGTTCAAGTGATTCTCATGTCTCAGCCTCCCGAGTAGCTGGGATTACATATGTGCACCACTATGTCTGGCTAATTTTTGTATTTTTAGTAGAGATGGGGTTTCACCATGTTGGCTAGGCTGGTCTGGAACTCCTGACCTCAGGTGATCTGCCCTTGGCCTCCCAAAGTGCTGGCATTACAGGTGTAAGCCACCATGCCCGGCTGAGGAAAAACATTTCTATAGTTTAATATATCATTTCTTTTAATCTGTTACCAAAATTATACTGAAAGAGTTACATTTAGAGTTTACATTTCATGAAAGCAGTTCTTTCACATGGTTCAGGTTTGTTTTTTGCGATCACATCTTGGCCTCTCTGTTTCACCTTACCTAGAGTATAATTTTGACAACAGTGATTCAGTAATAACTGAAGTCCTCAGAAACTCTTTCAGGTTTCTTTTGAGTTTACATAGATAATAAAAATATTTTAAAAACATTTTACTATCATTACTGTCTTATTCCATTTTGTTGCTATAACAGAATACCACACACTGGGTAACTTATAAATAAAAGAAATTTATTTCTCACAGTTCTGGAGGTTAGGAGACTCAATGTCAAGGTGCTGGCATCTGGTGAGGACCTTTGTGCTATGTCATCCCAAAGGGTAAGAGAGGGAGGGGGCTAGAGAGGGCCAAGCTCACATTTATAACAATCCACTCCTATGATAACAACATTAATCTATTCATGGGAGCAGAGATCTCATGGCCTAATCACCTCTTATTGCCCTACCTCTTAATAACTACCATAATAATAGAAGTTAAATTTCAACATGAGTTTTGGAGGGGACAAACATTCAGACCGTAGCAATTACCAGTATGCTGTTTGTCCTTTTATTTTCCTTTTCATAGGAAAATGTAATAAATGGAACATACTAGAAGGATCTATGGGAACCACTTACAGGGAAAATGCCATTCCTCTTCAACCAATCCAGGGAAAACATACAGAGAAACTCTAATTTTTGTGAGTTTTTGTTAATGCTATGGCAGTATTTCAGCTGTGGGCCACCTGGAAATTTTATCACTGCAGAAGGTGATATTTCATTATCCAATGCTCAATTCTTTTATACTTTCATAGAGGCAATAACTACATATACTGACAATGAAGATGTTTTTAAATAGACGCATGGGGTTTTGAAGCACTTGAGGTTTTATTGATTAATTGATTTTTAATTTTTTTACTTTGTGTCAAACTTCTCTTAGAATCTGGATTTGGGGGACTGACTTAAGATTGACTTGAAGAAGTCAGTAGGGAACCTCAGGATTTGTCCAGAAGCTGGGAAGTTGTTGTTTTTAAACCAGTTGACTAGTACAGGTGTACCCAAGAGTTGCTCAAAATAAGATTACCAACACCCAAAAGTTACAGTTATCAGCCAGGGCCACAATTCTCTGCTCAGCTCCTCCTGCTGCTGTTCCTCTCTTCCCGAGCAGTTCTCTGACTTTGAGAGCCTCTGCCTGCCCACAGGCCTAGTGTAGACCTCTCCTTCGAGATCTGTCATTGGGAGGTTATTATAGTAGATGGTGATACGGGTTCAGGGCAGCTAGTTTGCAGTTTAGAATCTCTGCCATATACTGAAGCCCAAAACTATTAAACTGAGCATACAAGAATATTTGGTGCTGCCCTTGCTTCTTGGCTCTGTCTTCTTATCTGATCTTAGTTGTCAATGATTTCAAGAGCAGACAGCCAAGGAAGTCTGAAGACCAACAAGAAACTTTGAGCAGACCTGGCTTGCAACTATTTATAAATTAATTTTGTTATTCCCTCTTTCCTATATATGTGTAGTTCCGTGAATTCTCCTTTGAATTGGTTATAACATCTTACTGGTTCCCTCATGAATGAGTTACATAAAAATTTTGATATGTTTTCATTTTATATTGTATGAAAGGCATGATTTTTACTTCTGAAAGTATCTTTTAACATTAGGTACACTATATGCTAAGTACTTGTCTAGATACTTTGTGTGTTTATTTTGCAAACACACAGAATACATTTTTTTTATGCCAGGTGCTGTTTTAAGTGCTCCATAAGTATTAACTAATTCAATCCTTAGAATAGGACTATATCATTTAAACTTCTCTTCAGCTCTTATTAGCCTCATCTTATCAAATGGAGGCTCAGAGAGGCCCAAGGTTATGTCATTAAACTGTAGGGTCTGTGTGAGGCTGAGGCAACTGCCCTCCCCAGCAGGCACTGGGACTAAATGTTTGTGTCCCCTCTGAAATTGATATGTTGAGACCCTAACCCCCAGTGTGATGGTATCAGGCATTTGGCAGATAATTAGCTATAGGTGAGGTTATGAGCATAGGCTCCCATAATGAGATCTGTGCTTCTATAAGGAGTGACCAGGAAGCTTGCTCTTTCTCTCTCTCCAACATGAAGGTGTCCTTCTGTAAACCAGGAAGAGGGTCCTCACCAGGAACTTGATTGGCCAGCACTGTCATCTTGGACTTCCCAGCCTTCAGGACTGTGATGAATAAATTGCTATTGTAAGCCACTGGTCTATGGTATCTTTGTTATAGCAGCTTGAGCCAAGATATACCCTCTAATAGTGCTGTAGGATGGGGTGAGGAAAGTCCTCAGCTTTGGTTTTTGGGATGCTGCATCTTTATTTTTATTATTTTTTTGAGGCAGAGTCTCACTTTGTCACCCAGGCTGGAATGCAGTGGAATGATCTTAACTCACTGCAGTCTCAGGCTCCTGGGCTCAAGCAATCCCCTTCCCTCAGTCCCCCAAGTAGCTGGGACTACAGGCACGTGCCACCACGCCCTGCTAATTTTTGTATTTTTTTTAGAGATGGGGTTTTGCCATGTTACCCAGGCTGGTCTCAAACTCCTGAGCTCAAGCCATCTGCCCATCTCAGCATCCCAAAGTGTTGGGATTACAGGCATGAGCCACCATTCCGGCCAGAATCTGCATCTCTAAAGAGCAAAACGATTGTATTGACAGAGGGGAAGGGGCTGTGATAAATGGATTCTGCAGAAGAAGCCCCCAGCTGTGGAGGCCTGTGCTCTGCCTGGGTGGCATGTGTCTTTGTCTGACAATGGCGAGGCCCTGGGCAGGTGTGGTGGCCATATGTGCAGTTTCCTACTAGGGGTTCCACTTAAATATTGGTCCATTTCTTTCCTCAGGGGTCCTCTTCCTCCTCAGAACATCTATCCTGGTTTATTTAATTTTTATTTTTATTTTATTTTTTTGAGGTTCGCAGAACATCTATCTTGGTTTTATTTTTATTTTTAATTTTTTTGAGGAGGTCTTAGAACATCTATCCTGGTTTATTTATTTATTTATTTTTGAGGTGGAGTCTCACTCTGTTGCCCAGGCTAGAGTGCAGTGGCGTGATCTCAGCTCACTACAACCCCCGCCTCCTGGGTTCAAGTGATTCTCCCGCCTCAGCCTCCTGGGTAGCTGGGCCTACAGGTGCGTGCCACAATGCCCGGCTGATTTTTTGTATTTTTAGTAGAGAAGGGGTTTTACCGTGTTAGCCAGGACAGTCTTGATCTCCTGACCTCGTGATTCGCCCTCCTTGACCTCCCAAAGTGCTGGGATTACAGGCATGAGCCACAGCAGCCGGCCGGTTTATTTTTTTAAAAATGGCTGGGCACAGTGACTTGTGGCTGTAGTCCTAGCTACTTGGGAGGCTGAGGCAGGAGGATCACTTGAGCCCAAAAGTTGGAGGCTTCAGTGAGCTATGATCGTGCCACTACACTTCAGCCTGGGTGACAGATCAAGACCCTGTCTAAAAAAAAAAAAGTAAGATTATTATCAGAGTCTCAAGGTGACAGTGAGAGGCAGCCTGGTGCAGGGGATAGGGCACAATTGCAATCTGCTAGACTGGGTTCAAATCCAAAATCGGCCATTCACAGCGTGAATAAATTAGAACTGGCTTAAATTAGCATTTAAAATTTCATCAGGATTAAGTAAGTACTTCCTTCTCACTCTTTCCACAGGAGGTGAGAAAGGGCTCAGCAAGGCCCGGGGAGGGAAGGGCGTGGGGATGAAAGGGATCCAGAGAGTCTGTGCATTGGCAGAGAAGATAGTGTAACTGTGGCGCTGCGGCTGGAGGGCTGGTCCCACAGTGAGCTGTAGCCCTGCCCGCCGGCCATGGGAGAGGCTTAAAACAAACGCCGGAAGCAACTCCCAGCCCCAGAAAGATCTGTGACCGGCAGCGCCAGACCCGCCTGCCTTCCTGACTTCTGTTCCTGACTTCTGTTCCAGGGCAAAGGTCATTTAGCCGCTTGAATCAGCCTTTTTTCCCCACCTTCCCCAACTTTGTTTACCAGATAAGGAAGGTCAGCATTCAAAGTCAAGAAGCGCCTCTTATCTTCCCCTGCGTTCTGCAAATAGTTCCGTGAGAAAGATGGCCGGGAACTCGATCCTGCTGGCTGCTGTCTCTATTCTCTCGGCCTGTCAGCAAAGTAAGAGGCATGGGAAGTTCGTGTGTGTGTGTGTGTGTGTATGTGTGTGTGTGTGTGCGCGCGCCTGTGTGAGAGACAGGGCTTGCGGGAGAGAGGATAGGGAGGGAGGGAGATAGGTCCGGTGTTTTGTTTCCTACTTGCCCTTGCAGGTGGCTCTGGGTCCTCAGAGCACAGTCGCCTCAGGGTCACCCATGCTGCCTGCTCCCCTCCTTCCCAGGGGCAAGCAGAGACTGAGAACATTCCAGAGATTAGTTCTCCCAACTGGAACGCTGTGAGGCCTCAGAGCTCAGCCATTCTGCATCATCTGTGGTTACGACCCACAGTCCGTTCAAACGAGCATTAGTAGCCTGCTAACCTGCAGGAAGTGGTGTGAATATTAATTACAAGCGTTCCAAAGGAAAGGTGCCTGCTTCTAAACCTGGTTGTGATTTCTTGAACATTGTTTTAATTAAGGTGTTTTGTTAAGTAAACTGCCTATGGTGTAGTATGATTATCAGGCTGAAAAAAACTTCCTTCAGAAATATGATCTTGAGATTAAGTAATTAGCTCTAAATTTTAAAAGAGCTTCCCACTAGGATTATTCAATATCCCGACTGCCTGGTTAAATAGAGGGCTTTTACTCCATGGGAGTCACATTTGCTCAATTCATATTATCTTACCTACAGTGTCAGCTGGGGAAAAGGGTCCCAGTGCAAGAGTGCAAGACTTCTTACCAAGCATGCATATTTCTTTATATTTCCAAGTGTGCCTGTACCTGGAAATAGGGCCAAGCTGTAGACTGCTCAGGTTACACAAACAGCCAGAAGCAGGAAGGCCTCACAGCTGAGGATCCAGTCCAGGCCTCCATGCACGCTTAATGTCTTGCCTAGCCAGTCTGTTTTGAGATTGTATGAAGATCTTGAACCGTCAGACTCACGTTTTGTGGTTTGATTCACACAATCTGTCGTGGAGAAGAGCAGGATATTTGTTTCTAATTAAAGAAACACTTAGATCTGTTAAAAGGAAAATCCTAGACAAATTACATTTAACTGAGTTTAATTGAGCAAAGAACGAGTCACAGTTGGGCATGGGGAACCGGAATAGGTTCAGAGAGACTCTGGGGCTGCCACGTGGTAGAAGAAGATTTATGGACAGAAAAAGGAAAGTGACTCCCAGAAAATGGAAACGTACAGTTCACAATGTACGGAGGACCTTTAGGCTGAACTTAAAATATGTCAGAAGGCAACTTTAGGCTAAACCTAATTTAACAGGTGTAAGGCGATCCATCCTGACTCACAGGTGCTACCAAACCTGCATGAGCCTTTATCCTAGGCCTGCAGAGGGCACAGGAGCAGGTCCACAGATGTCCCAAGTCTGACAGAGGTGCTTATCCTCCCTGTTTGCTGCTTGTGCAGGAGGCTGTGTGAACTGGGGCCAGAATGTCAGGGGGCTGGATGGAGGAGGGGGTAGGGGTGGGGAGAGAGGAGAGGAGACTGGGTGAATGATGATTAATGGTGGACAGGGAATGTTTAATAAGGCGTTAGGGCTGGGCACGGTGGCTCATGCCTGTAATCCCAGTACTTTGGGAGGCCAAGGCAGGTGGATCATGAGGTCAAGAGATTGAGACCATCCTGGTCAACATGGTGAAACCCCATCTCTACTGAAAATACAAAAATTAGCTGGGTGTGGTAGCATGCTCCTACACTCCCAGCTACTAGGGAGGCTGAGGCAGGAGAACTGTTTGAACCTGGGAGGGGGAGGTTGCAGTGGGCTGAGATCACACCACTGTAGTCCAGCCTGGCGACAGAGCGAGACTCCATCTCAAAGAAAAAAAAGATGTTGATAAAGAGTTGAACTCTGTAAAATATTTGAAAAGATGTATTTTGAGCCAAACATGAGGGATCAGTGGCCGGTGACACAGCCCCACGAGATTCTAAGAACATCTGCCCAAAGGGGTCTGGCTACAGATTGGTTTTATACATTTTAGGGAGACATAAGACATCAATTCATGTAAGATGTACATTAGTTTGGTTCCAAAAGGCGGGACAACTGAAAGTGGGGCATGGGCTTCCAGGTCATAGGTGGATTTAAAGATTTTCTGATTGGCAATTGATTAAAAGAGTTTATCTACAGACTTCAAATCCATAGAAGGGAGTGCCTGCGTTAAGATAAGGGGTTGTGGAGGCCAAGGTTCTTACTATGCAGATATAGCTTCCAGGTAGCAGCCTTTGGAGAGAATAGATTGTAAATGTTTCTTATGAGACTTGAAAAGGTGCCAGACTCTGTTAATTCTCTCCTGGATCAGAGAAAAGACCTGGAAAGGGAAAGGGATTTTCTACAGAATGTAGACTTTTCCCACAAGAGACAACTTTGCAGGACCATTTCAGGACGTGACGAAAATATATTTTAGGGTAAAATACTTCAATTTCTTTCAAGGCCTGCTATCTGTCATGTGATACTATACTAGAGTCAGACTGGAATTTGGTGTCTTATTGCTACAAAAAGTCTTAAGTGTTAGTTTTTTAAAGGGAAGGTTAGGGTTAAAGAAAGACAGACAGACACACACACACACACACACACAGGCTTTATAATAGCACAGGTATATTGCAGAAACCTGTGGAGGTTGGGGACCAGCTTAATGCCAGAGCCCACCATTGCTTACAGGCGGGGTATGTATAGGTATGGGCGGGAGGGGTTTGGGCAGTATGGTCTGCTGCCCTGGAAGATATTGATAAGATGTTCCTATGGTCAGATGGTTTGGCCAGGGATGTTCCCTGGGCTCTTTGTCCAGCAGGATTTGACAGGGATATTTCTTCAGTTGGGACTTTGCTTGGCAGGGTATGATAAGGATGTTCCTGTGTCTTGTGGTCAGGTGGCTAGGCAGGATGTTTCTCAGGGCCTGAACCCTCATGACATGCTTCACTTTGACTAAGGTCTGTGAAATGGCAGGGGGCTTACAAAATGGTGCAGTTTGGACTAACATTAAGGTCTGTTTTAATGTTAATGCTGGTCAGTTGTGCCTGAATTCCAACGGGAGGAGGATATAATGAGGCACGTCTGACACCTTTTTCCCATCATGGCCTGAACTCGTTTTTTAGGTTAACTTTGGAATGCCCTTGGCTGAGAGGAGGACTCCATTCAGATGGTTGGGTGGCTTAGAATTTTAGTTTTGGTTTACAAAGGAGACAGAGAGAGGAAGACACAACTGTTTAGCTGGCATCAGGAACCAGAATTTGCTCCTTTTGCAAGTCTGGTGTTCGTGGAGTTGGGACACCATGTGCCATGGTTGAAGCAGCTTAGGTTTTGCAGACAGACAGAGCTGTATCTGTTAGTCTAGCCACTTCCCAGTTGGGTGTCCCTGTTCAGGATACACTGCCCTTCAATGTCACCATCAAAGAGGGTTTAATCAGACCCTGGGGAGGAAATCCCACCACAGTGCCTGGCCCCATGTAGGCGCTTAGCACTGGCAGTTCCCATCCTAAGTTCCTTCTTCGAAGAGAGAAGTTTCTGCTGCATGGAGAGGTAGCGACAGGGTGAAGGAACCCAGCTGTGGCTGGGTGGGCATCACAGGGGGTAAAAGGCAGAGAGAAAGCTTCCCCTTCACCCTCAGAAGGTTCACTGAAAATCAACTGACAAAAGGCAGATTAATAGGAGAAAGGGTATGACAATTTATTTAAATATGCACAGCATGAGAGAATGATTGCCTGATAATCCAAAGGGGTACAGCAGCTTATATACTGTTCTTCACAGGGGAGGGAGGAAATGTGGAATGCAGACAATTCTTTTGAGTGGCAGTAAACGATTATTAGGGAGAATGAATGGACTGGGAGACAAAGTAACTTGCCAATGATTCTCTTTGGAATTTGATGGGCCAGAGGGGCGGGCTTAATCTGGTAGGAAAGTTCGTCCAGGTGTGTGCATTCCTCGGTCTTCTTTTCCACATGAGATAATGAGGTCTGAGGGAGGAGAGGGCAGGCAATTGTGTTTGTCTTAGGGGGTCTGGTTTCTAGGTAGATAAGGGAGCTTCAGAGGACTGCCCAGCCTTATCCTGGGCCTTGGTAGAGACCACGGGTTGAGACAGGAAGCAGTGGAGAGGTCACAAAGACCTTGAGGCCGCTTCTTTAGTTCAGTCATATTTTGAGGTGCAATATTCTGATTTCCTTCGGGGGTGTTAACAGAAATACCAAACTCTGTGAAGTCTTTTAAAGAGGTTTATTCTGAGCCAGTATGAGTGACCATGGCTTGGAGAAAACAAACCCAAGAAACCTTCAGTGGGTGGTCCCAAGGCAATGGGGTTACAGTTTGGTTTTATACATTTTAAGGAGGTAGGAATTATAGGCAAAGACATAAATCAATACATGGAAGGTATCTACTGGTTCAGCCCCAAAGGGTGGGATATCTTAAAGCAGGGGGCTTACAGGTTATAAGTGGACTCAGATTCTCGAATTTGCAGTTGGTTAAAGGAGTAAAGCTTTGTTTAAAGACTTGAATTCAGCACAAAGAAATGCTTACATTAAGGTGGTGGCTGGTATGGTGGTTCATGCCTTTAATCAAGCACTTTGGGTGACCAACGTGGGCAGATTGAGCCCAGGAGTTCAAGACCAGCCTGGGCAACATGATGAAATGCTGTCTCTATTAAAAATACAAAAAATTAGCCGAGCGTGGTAGCGCTCACCTGTAATCCCAGCCACCTGGGAGGCTGAGGTGTGAGAATTGCTCTAACCCATGGGTTGCAGTGAGCTGAGATCGTGCCACTGCACTCCAGACTGTGTGACAGTGAGACCCTATCTCAAAAAAAAAATAAAATAAAAAAAAATAAAGAGATCTGTCATGTGATGCTATGCCAGAGTCAGTTGAAAAGTAAGCCACACACTGGGTTAATTTAAAAGAACTGGCCTAATGAGATTTGATGGCTTGTAGGGCGTAACTTAACCATTGCCTTGCAAGGCCTTAGGTCTTGTCTACAAGTTGGTGTCTTCTTACTGCAGCTGGCTTTTGTTAGTCTTATGATCTCCATTTTA